GTTTAGGAAATCTGGACCCCGATGCACAAAGCGTTCGAAGCGCTGCGACCTATAGCATAATATGAAATATGTGAAACCTACATTTGTGGTACATTTTGTGTGACGAGTGTATAACAATTAATAGTAGGGCAATATAAACACAGGCAATCCAAGTGCAAATGCACTTTTCAATTATATGTTTACAGCAACCAATTCTCATATATGTGATGACATAGGTGAAGATTAAGACATATTCTGTGGTTACAGTTCAATTTTACCCCTTCTTGATGCTTGGAAGGTGATATTTTGTCTTTAAATAAACTGAAAAGATCATCACTTGGTTGTATTTTTTCAAGCTATTCTATTCATTCGCAGTTGAAGCAAAAAAAAACATTTGCAGCCATACAGTCTCAATACATAATTTTACTTTTCTTATGAATATATTGATTAAGTATTTATCATGCAAAGATTCCCCATAGCCATATTTGTTTGCTTGTTGTTTAACGCGAGACTTAGCGTTATTTCAGCTTCAGACGTTGGCTTGTCAATAATCAGATCTGGACCAGAAAGATCAGTGATACATTGAGCAATGTTCCACGCCAACCAAATTTCTGAGCAGCCTGACCACCTGATCCATTTGTTTCCCTGGCATATCTTCTGACTTTGGATAGAGCAACCCATGCTTGCCATAAGAGGCGACTAACGGGATCGGGTGGTCAGGTTCGCTGACCTGGTTGATGCATGTCATCGTATCCCAATTGCGTGGTTCGATTGTCATGATGTCAATCACTGGGTTGTCTGGTCCAGACTCGATTATTTAAAAACCGCCGCCATATAGCTGGAGCATTACTGAGTGTGGCGTCAGAGAAAAAACAACAAAAAACGAAACCTGGCACAACAAGTACATACAGCTGGGGACCCATCTAACATTGATGGGGCCAATACAGTCACGTGTTTAACCGGGGTTTCTTTCAATTAAGCAACCTTTGAATTCCATCATACGTGCCATTGTGGGGATTGTCGAACTAAGAAATGCTTTTCTATCAGTTCAAATTTCTTGAAATTGAGAAAGTATATTACAATGAACAACACAATAACTGCTGCTGATGTTGGGATTACGTATGATATTTAGGCTATAAATAAATTTCTGGTGAAAACACAAATTTAACAGTCAGATACTTTACAGTCCGGCAGTTCCTTTGTTTAATATTAACCTCGACACAAAATCCGAATAATTCATTTCTGTATTGTCCGTTGCCGCACGTGCGCTGACATTCGTGACTGACACTGTGTAAACGGACCGCCTCCGTGGTCTAGTGGTAGAGCGTCCGCCCGGAGAGCGGAGAATCGTAGGTTCGATGCCCGGCTGCGTCATACCAAAATGCGTCAAAAGAAGGTACTTGTTACCCTGGCGCTCAGCATTAGGGGCTAAAAACAAGGACTAGTTGGTTCGGAGTCAGTATACTGTGTCTGAGTGGGGTATTCACACACACACACACACACACACACACACACACACACACACACGTGCAGTGCATGCACATCGCTATTTAAGCGCAATAATCTTGAACGCAACGTTAACCCCCATTTCATCTCACCTCACCTCAATGTGTAAACTGCCAGGATATAGGGATTGTACGTGCGCATCATGGGTGAATCGGCATCTTAACTTTACGACGAAATGTTGGTATATTTCTGTCGTCTTCATCGTGGCATTGTGTTTGATTCACAGATTCACAGATTGATGTTTAAAACATGATTGGCAAGGGTATATGATCTATAACGAAACGATTTGTTGGATAAGCATTAGTAGACACAATTTATGGATAACAACTTCTTTAATACTGTAATATCCTTATACCGTTGTCAAGCAAGACTGAATGAGGAACATTGTACTGAATATATTTAGTAGATGGGGGATTAACAGTAACAACAATTGCATACATGAGTGGGATAACATGAGTAAGTAATGACAACAGAACTGACGATGGGCTACTACCCTCTCCACTTCACTTCTCGTGTACTACCCATGATGTACTACTACCCTCATCACTTCACTTCTCGTGTACTACCCATGATGTACTACTACCCTCACCACTTCACTTCTCGTGTACTACCCATGATGTACTACTACCCTCACCACTTCACTTCTCGTGTACTACCCATGATGTACCACTACCCTCACCACTTCACTTCTCGTGTACTACCCATGATGTACTACTACCCTCTCCACTTCACTTCTCGTGTACTACCCATGATGTACCACTACCTTCTCCACTTCACTTCTCGTGTACTACCCATGATGTACTACTACCCTCATCACTTCACTTCTCGTGTACTACCCATGATGTACTACTACCCTTACCACTTCACTTCTCGTGTACTACCCATGATGTACTTCTACCCTCACCACTTCACTTCTCGTGTACTACCCATGATGTACTACTACCCTCATCACTTCACTTCTCGTGTACTACCCATGATGTACTACTACCCTCTCCACTTCACTTCTCGTGTACTACCCATGATGTACTTCTACCCTCACCACTTCACTTCTCGTGTACTACCCATGATGTACTACTACCCTTACCACTTCACTTCTCGTGTCCTACCCATGATATACAACTACCCTCACCACTTCACTTCTCGTGCACTACCCATGATGTACTACTACCCTCACCACTTCACTTCTCGTGTACTACCCATGATGTACTACTACCCTTACCACTTCACTTCTCGTGTACTACCCATGATATACAACTACCCTCACCACTTCACTTCTCGTGCACTACCCATGATGTACTACTACCCTCACCACTTCACTTCTCGTGTACTACCCATGATGTACTACTACCCTCACCACTTCACTTCTCGTGCACTACCCATGATGTACTACTGCCCTCAGTTATACGAGTTCTCAGCTTTTCTTTATTTAATCACCACATCTCATTTCATTTGAGAATACTCTTTTCAATACAATAACTTTTGTTTTGTTCGTGATGACATTCACACCAAACATGTCACAGAGCAAGGATGTTCACCTGATGATGACCCATGTGGGGAATCGAAACCGGGCCTTCAGCGTGACGAGCGAACGCTTTAACCTCTTCTTTACCCCAATTCCCCTTTAAGATTTAGTGGTGCATATACATGAATAGTGCAATGCGCAGTAATACTGAATGTCACCTGTTTCTATCACTGGTGATCCATTGAATATATAATAGTTCACCTGGCGTAGTTTCGACCTCCAGTGTATGATATATATAAACAGGTATACCGGCGTTTTAAAAGGTTCGAGGTGAGGTGAAGTGAAATGGGGTTTAACGTCGCGTCCAAGATTATTGCACTTATATAGCGACGTGCATGTACGTGTGTGTTTGTGTGGCTGCTTGTACTAGTCCGGACTGATGCCGATTTATAGCGCTAGCTCACTGAGATACCATGACGAAGTTTAACATAAATACCCCACTCAGACACGGTATACTAACTCCGAGCCGACCAGTCCTTGTTTTAGCCCCTTAATGCCGAGCGCCAGACAGGGTAACAATAAGTACCATATTTTAAGGTATTTTGGTATGACGCGGCCGGGGATCGGATCGCGGACCTTCCGCTCTCCGGGCGAACGCTCCACCACTAGACAACGGAGGCGGTCTATTAAAAGGTTCGAAACACTTTCATTTACAGATATGCATTTTCAATATTACTCTGAACACTATCACTTTCCTTTTTATATAACAAAGTTGTTTTTGTCATACGGACAACTGTTTGGTATGTATCACGGAGCGCCTTACTATTATGGGTGCGTTGCAAAACGCCAATTGATGCAAGCGATGTACAGCAACTAGCCTTACAACGGGACGCTAACAGCCGCTTGCAATCGGTTCCCTGTCAAACCAAAATGGCGGCCACAGCGGAACAAGGAATTCTTGACTGGATCGACTGGGAAATGGGCAAGGGCAGCTGACATCCTCAGTCTGCACCACATCTTCAACGTAACCCTAAATTTATCGGCTCGTCCTCGAGTCTCTTCTATTACGATCTTCATTTGGGCAAGGCAAACCCAGCGGTAGTTGCGCTGCCATTTTGGAAGAGTGCGCAAGCGCTTTGAGCTTTCGCAGACCCACGGGTGAGCGATTAATTTGCTTACTCTAAACGATTCGTGGCTTGCAACGCGCCCAAAATGCGTAGGGCCTCCGTGTTTAGAAGGCCCGTGAAACGTAAACTTAATAAGAAAAGTGTCATCTGTACGAACCTACATGTAGGTGTTTATCAGTATTATAACAGACATTGAAGATGAATACCACTTCCTTCTTATATGCCCATTTTATGCAACATTAAGGGCTAAGTATATACCTGAATATTACCATGTCAATCCCAATTTCTTTAAATTCTCATCTCTGTTAAACAACTCTAAGTACTTACTTTTTCAAAATGTATCTATGTACATTTATCATGCAATGAGACACAGACAAAATATTATGTTATAGACTCTACTACTCTGAATGTACAACTCATAAATGTACTATAGGCCTGTGGCCTCCATCAGTACGGAAATAAAGAAATTGAATGCACGTGGAACAGGGGCAGCTATATGTCACTGTCCCAAATGTATGTTCAGCCAAAATGCCTCTGCTACAAACATGAGGTGTATGTATATACCCATCTATTCGACACAAAATCTACAATTTCTTCTCTGACTCCATTCTGTGCATGTTGTTATTTTCTATAGCTTTTCTTTCTATAGCTCATAGAGTTTTGCTACTGTCTATACTGGTAGTTTAGCTGATCGAAACAGGCATCCCTATTTTTTTTTCGTATAAAGGGATAAAGTGGATATAAACTTTATGAATCCTGTTTACTCAGTTAAGTGTGTTTATGGACATTTTCATCGCATTTTATACTTTCCGAAACGATGATTAATCAGTTCCAGTCTACTGGTGTTCAGATATATAAATGGAATGGTCACAGTAATTAATATAGTTCATAGAATTGATAACGAAGCTTAAAAAAACAAATATGAATAATATACGCATCACTATTTATATAACAGTACAGAGTGGCGATTGCAAGACACGAGGCAAAAAAATGCTCTGTGCATTCACAAACATGAATGTGGCCTGGGATACGTCAAAGTGTCTTTGACGTTATAGCCGTTTGATTTCACAGAATGCGACACAAGGGCTTCTTTTTCTTCGACGTCAGAGCTGCGCGAGCTGCTGTTTCAAATATCTCAGTCACCCCCTCCTTCGTCTTTGCGGAACACTCACGATAAGTAACAGCTCCTATACTGTCCGCAATTTTACGCCCTGCTTCCGGTTTAACCGGAAATTGTTTGTATTGTGCCAACCTAGCCTTGGTGTGGTCATCATTGCGGAGATCTTTCTTGTTGCCGACCAGGATAATGGGAACATTATGGCAGAAATGCTTCACTTCCGGGCTCCACTTCTCGAGGACGTTATCAAGGCTGTCGGGGACGTCGATGGAAAAGCACATGAGGATGACATCCGTTCGTGGGTAGGACAACGGGCGGAGTCGATCATATCCTTCTTGACCTGCAGTATCCCACAGAGTCAGGCTAATCTACAACAGAAAAAGGTCATACAGAACGCAATAACAGCCAAGACATGTCGACGTTTGACTGTAAAAGGTAAAAGTCGAAAATGAATCATTTCCATCTGTAAAAGCATAACGATGATCGATATTTATGCATGTCACAGCTTAGTAGCTAACATGTCCATATTCGGTTCATGCGGTGACGTAAATTGCCATCTGTATTACCAGGTACAGCTTCCCTGGGCCGTAACTGGCTGTAATCTGTCATCAGGATCAACTACTGCAATCCATAGTCAGGAAATATCACTTGATCACAGAAACCGCCAAAACATTAAGGCTTTTTAAAGGCATTTAGAAGTGATACACATTTATTATGAGGAACACAACGTTTCGGAGTATATGCTTACCCCTTCATCAGGTGAATGAATGCCACGAGGCAGAGAGCATATGTATTATGCATTATGTACATGTAAGGACAACAAAATTAAAAAGATAACAAAAGGTGGAAAATAACAAAGGGTAGAAACTAACAAGGGAGGCCAACAGATGATTGGCGCTGATAGGTGATTAGCGATAGACAATGGAAGCAAGCACTTTACAGTAGTTGGCGCTGAAGGTATGGAAGCCAGTACTTAAGGTGTCATAGATAAGTAATAGGTAATGGACAAAGGGCAAACGGGAGGCCGGGACAATTAGCACTGATGGGTGAAAAAATGGACAAAGCAAATGGCAAATTGCAGCCAGCTAGGTAATTAGCACCGACAAAGATCAAAGCAATAAGTCCCAAGACATTTACCAGTTTATTGTCTACTTCGACGACCTTTGCATAACTTTCAAACACTGTTGGCACGTACACATCCGGAAACTCGTCTTTGCGGTACACCATCAGAAGGCACGTTTTTCCACAACCACCGTCACCTACAACAACTAGCTTCTTCTGGGTCGTCATTTTAATTTGCTGAAAATGAATGAAAATCTTGTTATTGGCTCTTTATTACAACTACTGTGTGCACTGATCTCCATGAAGTTAACTCATAAAGTAAGTCAACTTTAACCTTCATGCATGTATACCTATGATCATGGGTTTCGAATCACAAATTATCACCTTTTTCTAGGTTTGTTAGCACCATATCCGTAGAAGTGGGTTTCTCGATTATCCAGGGTATTACATATCCGTTCTCTCATGCTAAACAGTCCGGACCCTTTCGGAAGTGATGTTACCGCTTCCATTGATTCTATCTCTTACTGAGCACAGCGTTTCTCTCGCTCAGTAGAAACGAATCGGGCTCAAGACGAAGCTGTGGTGACAATTGGATCCAGGGTAGTAAAACATAAAATATCTAAACAGTGATTGTTGATGGCCAAACAACAGTCACTCAAGCATGTCGAAGACGGTAATAAAATGATCGAGTCACGCAATCATGTCCTTTAAGATACCGTGTTTGTGCCAAAGCTGGACATCCACTAAAAATGTGTTGGAAAGTCTCATTAAATTCTTTGCATATTCTACATTTCATATTTACATTTTGATGCAAAATCACACATTGACTGTTTCGAGTGGGGAGTGACCGATCTTGAGCAGCAAACAGAAAGCCTCCTGTTTCACTTTTTAGGCCAGCCGACTTAATCCAAGCAAAGGACTCTGCAGGGTTGCTTTGCTTCTCAACACACTAAACATAAACTCGACGCCACGGTTGTTCAGATAGCCTCTCCTTGAAAAAAGTCTGGGCCGATTTGATATGGCACTTTGCTTGGTTGACATTCATTTGTGTACCGTCCAGCAGTACAGAACCATCAACAAAATCAACACTGACATTGAGATTATGTCCCACGTCCTTGGCTCGTTTAAGAAACTGTGGAATGCCTTGTTTTCATAATGAGTCTTGACATGCTTCACAAGAGGATCATCAGACAAATAAATGTATTCAAAAGTGCACAATACAATTCTATATAGAATTCTCCACGTTAATGATACCACGTCCTCCCATTGTAATTGGTAAATATTAGCGATTGAGGGAAGAGCGAGGGGGGTGGGATCTTTTGTCTGACATGATACTTCATGTGAGGGTGTCAATACCCTGAATTGCTTGTTTCGTCACCAAAGGAATACGACAGGACGGGTACAGCATAAGTATTTGTGGCTTTGACTTTATTGCGAGCGTTCAGCTTTGTACCGTGTATTCAGACAAGTAAGTAGGGCGGAAGTTTCAAGGGTCAGTCAAATCACCTTTTTCGGGGAGAAGTATGGTTCGACCTTTGCACAACCAAGGCGGAACAACCCCCGTATCGACAAGAGAATTTAAACAGTGAAGAAATGGTGTTAGGACACAAGAAGCATAGCATCCGGCCCTGGCGCCGTGTTCGATTTGGACCTTTCAATAGCCCCTTTTCAGGCAATCGGTTGTAATGAAACACAACAATAGTGACTTTATTTTGTCATGTACATTATTATTATCCTCTACCCCTGGGTTGTCGAGGTTGCATTTGCCGGGTATAGAACACAACTGTTTCCGAAACCTTTCACTGGAATCCATGGGGGGTCTTTCCTCATTGCCATTGGTTGCATTTAATTGCCTGAGAAACCTTTTTTCATTAGATTTGAACAGTTTTGGGTTTTTTTGCTTTTATGAAATTCTTTTTCTTCTCCCACTTTCTCTTTCTTTCTGTCCAAACCTTTAACTTTACTGCAGATAATCAAGAATTTGATTTAGAATGTGGTCTTGTATTTTGTTTTTATTTTTCTCCAAATTGATTTTTGGTGTTTTGACATTGATTGCCCCGAGGAACCCCTGCAATTTAACTTTGCTGCTTTGAACGTCATTTCAGTTGTTACGGCGTGCATGCTGAGAGGAAAACCGATTGAACGCAGGTAGACATTTAGTAATGTGGGGAATCCCACAAGCAAAGGGTATGGTGCTGACCGACCAAGCACAACAGCTGACGCGAATCCAGGATTTGAACCCACGATTAGCAGATACAAGAACGGCTAAGTGACTAAACTATACTGAACAGCATTGAAAACGCACCAGCAATAAATCTTGAAATATTACAAAAGCAACTTGAGCAATGACCGATTTTGATTAGAACAGACATAGACGGATTATTAAGAAAAACGACAAAGGAAAAGGAATAACACACAGTAATTACAATTACGTCATCAGTGTAAGGAAGCCACATAGGGTTAAAATGAAAAGTCAATATCTGGTATGTCCGCTATTGACAGCAACACAGGCCATGCAACATCTTCTCATTGATCGAATAAGTCTGCGAATAGTGTTCGGCGGCATTCCACTCTTGACGTAGTGTATCTTCAAGTTCTCTCAGGTTCTGTACTTGCGGACGACGTGAGAGGCGTTGATCAGGTAATCCCATAGATGTTCAATTGGCGATGGATAGGGTGACAGGGCTGGCCATGGAAGCAGAGGCACATTATTGTTCGCTAGGTACTGTGTTGAAACACGTGCTGTGTGGGCTCTTGCATTATCTTGCTGGAAGATGTGCATATCCTGGTGCTGATGAAAGAATGGGATGACGTGATTTGCCAATATGTATATGTTATACCTGTTACACACACACACACACACACACACACACACACACACACACACACACACACACACACACACACCAATCGATCTGTCTGTACAACGCAGTCATTGTGGAAAAGTTCTCCACGTCGACGCCACACTCGCAGTCGACCGTGAGCATTCCGTAAATGAAAACGGGACTCATCAGAGAACAGCACACCATGCCACTGCCGCAATCTCCAATGACGATGCCTTTTGGCCCAACGCAGACGTTCATTTCGGTGTCGATCAGTGAGTATGGGTCCAACATATGGACATCGAGCACGTAGCCCTGCTGAGCGGAGACGTCGACGTACGGTGTCAGCACTGATCAATTCCGTCGGCCTTGTACGGTTGCTGCAGTCCTGGTAGCCGGAAGTGTACGATCACGAAGATGCCGACGAACAATATGGCGATCCTGACGTGGTGTAGTTACACGACGTTGACCCGGACGTGGTCGATCTCTGGTGGTTCGTGTCTGCTGGTATCTGCTCAGTAGCCTGAGAACTGTTGAATGATGGCATTGAAACCGTTGTGCAACGACTCTACTTGACGTACCAACTTGAAGTATGCCCAAGGCACGTTCACGTTCCTCTGCTGTTAATCTTGGCATTTCTTGTTTCAGTACCCTTTACGTCTGCAGCAACAAGTGATGTGGCTTTTAAAAGTCTGTCTTTTATAGCCCTATTCTGCATGCTTCCCATGAATCAAAACACGTTTTCCATGATGTTCACGCAATTTGTTGCGTTTTGGCGATTTCGCTTACAAAGAAATTAGGAATGTGTTCTGACGAGCTGTTCTTCTTCATGCTTCGTCCAGAACGTCGTATATTACTCATTCACTTATATACTTTCATATGACTTAAGCCCGGATAAAAATACATCCATTTTCATGGTGGTGCGTTTTCAATGCTGTTCAGTATATTTGACCACTAGGACACCCGTGTCACCTGAAGTATATGGGCAGAGGGTATGCACTTCACAATCACCCATGTGAGAATTTGATCCCGTATCTGAGACGTGAGACGAGCGAATAAAGAGTTGCTGACATGCACAGTATAATGAGTTCAGCTGTGTGCAACAAGAGCCGCCATGCAGCTCGCAATAGACGCCTTTATGGGAACAGGCCTAACCAGATGAAAAACATCCAGATAAAAGCTGTCGTGAATGAGGGACTGCACAATATAGTCGCCCTGCTTGACTGACTTCGGGGTGGAAACATACGACAACCGATAGCTGTATGCTTCTCCCTGATGAATACTGGCTGAAATATAAACTATTTAAATAAAGTTTCTCAAAATGTCGATTATGGGCAAATATTTTCCCTGAGAGGGTCCAAAGTATGTTTATGTTACATAGTATTTCAATAATGTTTCACACAACTAGCGTGTTTAAACATGAATACACTGTTTATTATTATATTCTTTACAATACTCAATGAATGTACTTTAAATGTT